GGAAATTTGAATAGAAAAAAGCTTACTTTGAAAGCTGTTTCGTTCTCTATTATGCTTTTACTTCCAACAATACAGTGGGTTTCCCTTTCTTCTCTCTAGGCCCTCTACAGCGCTGCTAAATATGGCACCCGTGTTTGGCAAGAGAAATTATGTGCTTCTCCTTTGCCAAATACGAGCAGTGGCCCCTGCTGGTGCTGGCCAACAGATAAGCACACAAAGTGGAGGTAAAGGACAGCTGCCCCAGACCCTGAGCTCCAGAGCAGACCTCGGTCTCTGCAGCAGTGGCTGTGTTGTAATCCACTTAGAACTAGACAGTCAGTATTGGAGGAAATGGATAAATGCACAGGAATTACTGCAGCAGCGTTGGATAGGATTAAAAAACATACAGGAAAAAGGTGGCATCGGCGGCGCCTCAGTGTATTCACTGAATTTCAGAAACTGTTGTTGAGCACAATGTTTTTCTTTGTGAGGAAATGAAAAGCGATCACTCAACAAACACACGGCCACACGTTATTATACAACTCAATGAGCTAATCCAGAAATGGTTACTCCAATTAGTGATCTGGTGAAAGAAGGTCTTCACTTCAACCCATTAACATGTTGTTTTTCTCTCCAATTTAGAAAATGTTTGCGAGATCTCTTAACCTGCTGCTTGATTGCAATCTGTTGCCAAAGCAAGTAGGGGAGGGGAGGTGAGGAGAGGAGAGGAGAGGAGGGGCGAAGAGGCGTGGGGGGTAGGAGTAAGTGCCTGGGACAATAGATAGTCCATGCTTGACTTCCTTAGGAAATGGAACTCTGAAATTCAAGCCATTAAGGGTTCAAAGGTGAGGCCTTTAAATTTCCTTAAATTGACGGCGTGGCACGAGTGATAAGCAGAGGTCACTCCTTTAAGCAACTGCATTAGAAATACATTAGAATTAAATGTGACCTCCTGATTTCTCTCTTATTTAAACCAATAAAAGACCTGTGTCTCCAGTAATATTGTGTTAATGGAGCATTAATACTAATTTAAACATATAGTAGTGCACTTTTAAATTAGAAACTAGAATTTTTTTTCAAGTCGTTAAGACCCTGTGGGATCCCAGTGTCTCTATCCTATACACAGGACGTGCTTCACTGGTTAACTAGATCGCTAAATTGACAAACACAAATAATACTCTCAGATTGATGTCACAAACAGTCATGCTTGGCTGGCAGTACACATTAGCATATATCACTGGCCATGTAGCGGGAGAAGTTATGCTCCGGAGCTTTTAAGGAGGCCATTACAAGTGTAACAGCACTCAAACATCCCTTTACTGTACTCTACTTGCGAACACTTTGATCTTTGAAAAGTTTGCTCCGGAAAAAAAAAAGGACAGAGAAAAAAAGGGTGAGCCACAGATAGGGAGGGCCGTACATGTAAATCAGTATCTCCTCAGTTTTGCCTGTGTGGCCCGGCCTTGCCAAAGATTCAGATAGCATGAATAATTTTGTGACTTTGTTGAGGAAAAACTTTCTTAAGTGAAGCAATGCAGACTAGGTCTGATAAATAATTTAAATGTTTCACTGGAGCCATGCAGCTTGCGCAGGGCAGGCATCTATAATATGCATGTAAGAAGACGTGATAAAGCAACTCCATAAACAGTAGCCAGAGAGAGAGAGAGAGAGAGAGAGAGAGAGAGAGAATGTCCCAGCAGTGTGGGGGAGAAGGAATGGGTGACGCAGAGACAAATGCCTCTGACTCTTGCTTTATGTGGGCATGTGGTTCAGATGCTGACCCGTTGTAATACACACATCTAAGTTGCACCCAATCTAACGGCTGTGTTTGATGTGGGAAGGAGCTGGGTGTGTAAAAGGAGGACAGATTAAGCTGGAGATAATGATGACAGAGAAAAAACAGGGACCCGACAAAGATTTATGTGGAAAAGGAAATATTGAGATTCCTGCCATTGTGAGTGTGTGTGTGTGAACGAGGGAGAGAGAGGATGGGAATTTACAAAACAATGCAGAGACACAACAGACGTAAAGAAATTAATGTCCAGGCATTGTTCTCTTTCAGCCTAATAACGGAGCCCAGACAAACGTGCACACAGATCATTATCTGCATGGTGCTGTCTCAACCATGTGATGGAAATCTTTACATTTCATGCTCAACATCTGGCCTGGAGTGAACTAAAGCCAACCCAATATTCCTGTTCCCATTGTGTTTAAATGTCATTGCTTTTTTATGGTTTTAAATTCCTCGATTTACCATAGCATTTATAAAAACCAGGGTTGAACCGGAGTTAACACCATAATAATGACTTACCACAAATTGCATTTCATGCCACCGATTTTTTTGTTTTGTTTTTTAACACATGTACCGTTGATGATTTGACCTTGACTTGAAAAATATCCTTCTTGAGGTACATTAAGATTTGAAATGTCTAATATTATTATGATCTGATTATTCATGAGTTAACTGGGGCAACATGTCGATTATTGTAAATACATTTGTTCATCAATTGATTTGAAGTTGAAGTGGATTATTGTAAATACTGTATTGTATTGTATTATATTGTAATGTTCATCAATTGATTTGAAGTTGAAGTTAAACTAGGATTATTATTATTAGCTTTACCTTAACGCTGCGTGCATCAGTAGAAGTATCTCAGTTACTCTGTGAGTGTATTTATCTGTGCCAAAGCTGTCACTGGACAGCCACAATGCTGTAATTGGAGCTCTCTCTGCTGCACCCCAATTAAGCCAAGTCTATAGCAGCCTCCGTTGGCCTTCTCTTGCTCCATGGCCCATTTCCTCTCTCATTTCATATCTGTAAGGAGTCCATATGATTTGAAACAAAAGCAGGGTGAGCCTAAATCAGTAAACCATTAGAGCGGCCTCCTTTCCCTGGCCTGTTTCCTGCACTGTCTAAAGAAGAAAATGAAAAAAAAACAAAACAAACAAAAACAAACATACACAATATTCATATGCGACTCTCAAACCGCAACAATGTTCTGTCGTCACAATGAATCTTAATGGTGTAAAACCACGGGCAGAAGGCAAACTTTGGTCTACAACAAAATGAATTTCATGTATCGACCTAATATCTTATTGTCTGAGGAATGATAGAATCGTGTACTGCAGTTAATTTATTCCCCCAACTTCACTGAGTGAAGTAGTGAGGCGGGAGGCTGCAGAGAGGAAGCATTGATCCCATGTATTTATCCCTGACTGGTCAGCAGTCTGGCTTGTTGCTGTGCTCTGGAGGTCATTCTCTACATTGAATCCCAATTGATCTAGTCTTCACAGCCTCCCGAGACACTGGGTGCTTCATTATTACAATGATCACTCTCCAGTGCACACCTCTGAATACGCTTTAATAATAGGAACAGACTTATACAGACATGTACAATTAAAGAAAACAGACCTGTGTGTTTCGGTGCATTCACGGACGTCCCTTTTTCACACTCACACATACGCCAACACACCCATGCAAACGTTGATCGGTAGAAACCAAATTTAATGCTGTCTATCTTTATAATTCCTTGTTCTGTGCCTCTTAACTGTGTGTAAGAGCATGGGCTAATTCAGACATCATTTAATAAGAGACACAGCCAGACTGAATTGACCATTTCACAGAAAGGTGCTGAAAGGCAATTACGCTGGGCAAATAACCCTTTAGGCTCCAGGGGCCTTAGCCCTTTCATCCAGAAGAGAAGGAGTGAAGGGCGGATTCCTACAGCGCCAAGAGTTGAAGAGAGTTACTTCAGGGTCGATAGTTTTCTTTGCTCTTTAACATCGACACGGATGCAATGATTTGGTGCTGGATTTATAAAAACAGGCAAAATACCAAACATGAAATCGCAAAATTAATTGTACATAAATGTATCACTTTCTTACTATATCTCTTTAATGTCCTCTTTAAGCAAAAAAATCACTTTCTCTTTAATGTCCTCTTTAAGCAAAAAATATCTATAGATGAAGTCCAAATTACTACTTTCGACATTAACCTTGACTTATCCTCAGCTATTACTATGGCGTACTTGTTATTTTTGTTACTCTGTTGCTGATCTGTTTTCTGTATAAAACAAAGTAGCAACGGTTCATATAAAACAAGGGACAAAACCCTAGGATCATATTACAAAAATAAAGCCAATACATTGGCTGGAGCACATGCAGTTAAGTATATTAATTGAAGACAAAGAACACTATATTTTATACTGTGAGTGAGACTACATCTGCAGAGCTACTGTTTCTACCTCATGTTTTGAAACATTACTATGACTGTGATGGAAGATGGAAGTGAAAGCTGTCAAATTTGGAGGTTTTATATGAAAGTGCTGTCACTTCCTGTTCCTAACAAACTCTCTCGGCTGCGTTCAGAAGAAGAATGCAATGTATCAGAATATCTGTTTTGCAGCTATGAAGAAATCAAAGCAAAGACAGGCGGGGGGGGCAGTTAAAGGCAAGAAGGGGTTAATGTAAGACTCGGAAAATTATCTGATAAAGGTAAGAGATCAAGGTCTTTGAAACGTACTCTTTGGTTAACTTAAAAGCAATTTCCACAATTTCCACAAATAGCATCTACTCGGTGATTTATTACTCTTTGGTTAACTTAAAAGACAGCAATTCCCACAAATAGCATCTACTCGGTGATTTATATATGTACATACATACATTACGCACTCCTATATTACAAATCAGCTTTTTAAAGTGTCCCCAAGGTTTGTGTTTGATGTCTGAGACATGCAGATACCATGAGTGGGGCGACTGTGAAGACTGAGCACAGATGGTGCGTCTCATTTTCTCCTTTTTACTCATTCTTCAGACTTAACAACTGGCACAAGTAATTGCAACTATTCCTTATGTCAAGTAAAAAAAACAAAACAATAAAAGCATCAGAAAAATGTCTGGTGTTTCATGTCCTCACAGAGAAATATGACTTCGACAGAAAGTTCACACACTGTATTAATAAAAAAAAAGAATGTAAAGGAAGGCAATAAAAGGAAGAAGAAGGAAAAGAAAATACTACCTACCATTATTTCCAAAGTCCAGCGAGTACTTGACCACATGGTAGTTATTCCACACGTACAGCAGGTTGTCTCTGGGGTTGTAATCCACAGCTGCGATGTACTGGTAGGAGTTGGGAAATGGTATGTTTAGTGTCATTTCCTTGCTCTTGTCCGTGTTGTACATGTAGTCAATTTTGTTCCCCGCCCCTTCGTTGTCATCGTCTTCATAGACAGTCTTGACGACATAAAGGACGCCGCAGATCATGAAGGCATTGGAGGCAGAGCGTTTGTCGTAGCTGGTGTCCCAGGAGCCTTCGATGCGCAGCGTGTAGGGGTTGAGCTGGCTCACCACAATTCGCCCGTTGTTCTGCTCTGTAGCATAGATCACCCAAAGTCCATTCTCGTCCACTGCTAGGTCGATGTCCGACTTCCCCCCCCAGCGGTACGGTGAGGTATCGTGATAGTTTGCATTGGCGATAATAGCCTCACCGCTCTTGATACGGGTGCGAAGGTCAAACTTGACAATGTTACGCGTTCGCTCCTTGTTGAAGAAGAGAGCGCCATCGTACACCACAAAACCAGTGCCGTCCACACGATGCGGGAGTTTGTAAGTTGTGGTTGGACGGCCTGCGATGAAGTCTTCCTTTGATGAGTACTCTGTCAGAGTGTCTGTGCGATACGGTGTCCAGGGCATGTAGTAGATTTTCTCGGAGGCCTGTAAAGGATCTTTGCACCATGCACCGGATTGGTGGTCCGACTCGAAAAGATGTTCACTTTGGTAGACGCCTCTCAGAATTCCCGGACACAAGAAAACTATGGAAAAATAAGAGTTTAGCATCAGGTCACATACATATTTGTGGCTGCTTTTAAAAGTCAACAATCCTCCCCAGATTTTTTTTTTTGACTCTGTGTGAAATGTCACATCTATCTTTTGCTGTAACAACTGACTGATAATGAGAAGTCCGCCTCTGTTGTGGCGAGGATGTTGGCTAGTCACTTTCATTCCACACGACGACTCCATCCTACGTTCTTTTCAGCTGATAATACCCAGCTTTCAAAGCTAATAGAAAAGAGAAAATGGCATATTTTCTTCTACTTCCCCCTTTCCCTGGATTCCCATTTTCTCCCTCCTTCTATGGTTCCTCATTAGTATCATAGCTCTTTCTTCCCTTCTCTTCTTTCTATTCGTGTCAGGAACGACCAACTGTAGAGCCAAACATGTCTTTTATAGCCTGCTGTTTCTGCAATTGTTACAGTAATTCATTCTCCACTCAGTGCTCGGTGTTCCCATCTTGGAATACTGGGGTTACTCTTTATGACTGATGTGGGTGATGCAGTAAATTCTAGGAAGCCATTGCGACCAGAGTTATAGGGACCTTTGTAATTTAACTGGAATGCTGTCACATATGCACGGACAGACATATAGCTGATACACACCGACAAGCCAGATGTGCGTTGTGGTTTTCCCATTCTCTTCAGTAATATAAACCCATAACCTGCACAGAGGCCTGGGAATACTGATTGAATTTTTGTTGGCGATTGAAAGTTCTGGCATAATTTTCATATCAGTGGGAAGCATTTGAAATATTAAATGTCAACGTAATCCACTGTTCATTGGCTCATTGTAAAGGCACGCTCCCCCCGTGCAGAGTTTGTTAAGTGACATTCTACACTATAGCGTGGAATAATACAGAGCTGGAGTGTGTCTAATGAGAACCAGTGTTTCTAAATTGCTTCTATATGCTCAGATCAAGCTCCTAATGTAGCTGCTGGACTTTAGAAGAGATGTGGCTCTGCCGTGGGCTACAAGACGCTCGAGGTGCTAAAAAGTGACGGGCAGCCATACGTTTTATACATGATTGTGATGATGGGCATGCTTTTTTTTTCTTTCTTCAGACTTACCTTTCTGTTCCACTTCTGCATCAGCCAAAGGCAAAACATTTAAAGGGAAAAAAGAAAGGGATGGAGGGAAAGGAGGAGACAAAAGACAGAAATAGATTAATGATGCAATAATAAGGAAATCATGATAATACAATCTTAGATCTCCATAATCGTTCTCATATTTCATCCTAACCTTGTGAGAGTGCCAGGATGCTCTCCACGTGTGATTGGTAATGACATTACGTAAGCATTTGAGGAGACTGCACTGAAACAGGGAAGCTGTCTGACAGTAATGCATCTCACATATGTCACACATGAAGATCCATGGGGGGGACAGACCAAAAGGGAGGGAAACGCTGAGAGTCAACACTAGACCACAGCTCCACATGAAGTAGAAGACACATACTTGTATAAGTTTGAATACAGCAATAGAAAACGACCTTTGATGACAAGATCTTTATCGTGAAAAGCAACAGAGTAATAAAAGAAACACAAATGTGATTTAATTATTGAAGCTACATTTCGGTGAAACTGCATTTATGTGCTTTGTGAAGCGCAGTGGGTGAGCTGCTTTGTGTATGTCACCCACGGTGCGCGTGAAAGCGAGGCAACGCACGTGTTTATGCGTGTGTGTTTGGGAGGTAGGAGTGTACGAACATCAGTTCTCTCCCAGTCAATCACATGCAAAGCAATAACCTTTAACGCTTTGTAGGAGGATTTTTCACATTAGCCCGTGAAGAAAGCAGCACACTTGCTCACAGCATCCTTAACATATGAATTTCATTCTATGTTGCTCCCTGAGGACTGAGTGGAATGTGAACATAGAAGAAACCTAATCCTGCAGGCCCACGGCGTCCTCCAGCATCTAGGAGCCTCCTGTCAGGGACTAATGTGGGTTCCTACCCCGATAAAAACCATAAAAGAAAAAGCAGAACAGACCTAAGCTGAGTTTTCACAATGCCACTTTTTCGGAATGAATGATTATGAATTTGTTTGCACAGACTAAGCACCGCAGCCTCCTAGTCAGTGAGAACAATAATGTATTTGCTGCTTCACTTTAACGACTAAACAGTCAAATACTGTATAAACTAGTACTGGAGCTGATTTGGTGAAAATGGTAAAACAATGCCTAACAAGAGAGAAAAAAAAGAGTAGAATACCGGGCTACACGTTTTGTTTCCATTAGCATCAAATCCAACAGCAGTGACGTTTGTTTTTTCTCATTAGCATCAAATCCAACAGCAGTGACGTGCAGGTGATTGATCTCTGTTTTTGCCAACAGCAGTCAGTCTCTGTTTATACTCAGACTGTGTTTTTGCCAACAGCAGTGAGTCTCTGTTTATACTCAGACTGTGTACTTTCTATAATCTTGCAAAACTGCGTTGATAATAGAACCTAAACGTTTCCATGATGGAGAGTGGTCGCTGCTCTTGCCCTACAGCAAAAAACTGATGGTCTGATGGTCTTTCTAAATAAGTTTCCATGTTTGCCCTGTATGTGCAGGGTTTTTCTCTGGGTTCTCCAGTTTCCCCCCACAGTCCAGGATTAGGATTTATGGACACTGTAGGTTTGTCATACAGTATATATGAACGTGAATTGATTTTTGTTTCTACATCTGACCCTGTGATTAATTAGTGAACTGTCCAGGTTGTACTCGCCCTCACCCGATGACTGCTGGGATTGGACACGATGAATGAGGAACAACTCAATGATGACGAAGGGTTGATTAATTCTTCCATCATTTGAATGATGAAGTATTTGATTTCACCATAGTGGAATGAAAAACAGTGTCATTCTTGGTGTGTGTCAAAAAATGGCCGGGTATATTTAGTCAATATTTGTCGTTAAAAACTTTATTTTTTAAATGTTATCTTGGCGGTCACAAAGCCACGAGGCCCTGATGAACATAATTCCCACCTTGTAGAAGCAAGGACTGACGTAAAACTACAGGTGACAAAACACCAAATGTACTTACAGGTACTGCAGGAGAATAACCACTCTGTCCTACAGCGTTTGCATCTGGTGAGGCGCGGACCACAGTACACACACTTTGCAGTTTTGTGAGCCCCTGAAAAGATTTACTGTTCAAAATCTGTTCAGCACAATAAATTCCCAGCGGCGGGGTCCAGCATTGTAAAGTGGTTCTTTTGATTTCTTCAAGAGTCTAAAAAGATGTTACTTCAGTGAGGAATGTGCTTTTCTGTGCTGCAGTGGTTGTTTACCAACAAGAGTACTCAAACTATTTTTAAAAAGCCACTCAGGTGGTGCCTTTCAAATGTCCAGCTCATGTGTCCATGTCCATGTCCATGTCCATGTCCAGTGCAAAATCCACCCATGTCCAGCTCATGTGTCTGTGTCCCTGTCCATGTCCATGTCCGCCACAGAACAAAAAAGGAGAGGAGAGTGGAGGGAGGCGAGGGGATAAAGTCTTCAAAATAAAGTGGTTCATAACTTCCCTGTTTCTCATGTTTATATGAAGCCCAGATAGAACACTACAACCATACATTCTTTTACACATTAAAGCTAAATCTCATTAGCAACTGTGAGCCCTACACAAACTTGTGTGACATGCACAAATATTCTCTCTGTCACACACACACACACACACACACACACACACACACACAAGCCAGCATTAAATCCTCGGCTCATGAAAAATGCATGGTAACTGGTGCGGCTTAGCACAACTTCCAATAAATAAGCAGTCTGTGGTGGGAGATCGTGCTAAACCAGGAATAAGTGTGTGTACATGTACACGTGTGTGTGTGTGTGTGTGTGTGTTCTCGTTGAAGATATGAAATACTTACATGAAAATCTGAGGTCTAAGAAAACAGCGTATCTGTGTGTGTGTGTGTGTGCGACTGGTGGGGGGTTGTTTGTGTGCGATATGGAAGGACAGATATTGATGTAGTAAACACGCACACCTACACCACAAAGAGACAAGATGTGGTTGAGAAGACAGGGATTAATGACAGCAAATAAGCAGGACTGCACATCACCTGAGGCTCCAACACAACCTCCCCGAGAAACACGCAGAGTTCAAGGTCTTCAGCAAACCATCGACTTAATGGACTAGAATGAAGCAGCAACAAGTATAAATAGTTAGCAGACCGGCTGAATGTCATTAGTCTGCCTTAGAAAGTATGTCCAACGAATGATTGATCAATCCAATAACAATAATAATAATAATAATAATAATAATAATTATTATTATTATTATTATTATTATTATTATCCGCAGCATCTGTTTTCCAGATTGAAGACAAGAGTCAGTTTCTTTTTTTCTTTTTTTTTCAAAAATCCCAGTGATTTATCTTACAGTGCAGCAGACTTGACAGAGTGAGTGTAGGTTACTCAGACATTCACTGAAACCTCAAGGTCTTTTCAAGGTTAGCCAAGCGAGAGCAGAGCAAAGACAGAGATATGTCTGTGTCTAATGCAGCAGCTGCGTGGGACCAGAACTGAAGAAAAACAACAAATATGAACGATGACAACTGGGCAAAAAAAAAAAGACTTCGAAATCCACGAAAACATCAACAACAAAGCATCTGGTCAGGTCTCGTCCTGTTACTTTATATTTGTTCAGTATGCGCTAGCTAGCTTCAAAAAGTGCTTGTTCTTAAAGGTCAGGTACGGTGAGATCTTAGCTGGTCTTAGAAGAACTTTTATCCTGTGCTTCATTTTACTTTCAAGACTGAGAGATTAAAAATACGAATCGGTGCCCTGTGTGATGGCGAGCTAAACACGTTAATTAGAGCTTAGTTGTTGGGTCAGTCCTTACCAACAAGAGCTGAGGCATAGTGGTCTGTGAGGGTACTGCAGGAAGTAGCCAGATTTGTCATCATTGTCATCTAAAATAAAATAATCTAAAATAATTGTGTTTCTTCTTGTGATACATTTATTACAAGTTTGTTTTAAATGCAGACGATAATTAGGGTTTCTATTTTGAGGTGGAGCAATGATTTGAATTTGGCTTTGAGGTCCATATAATAGCAGATTATGTTTTGTGTTTTTTTTTTCTTGTGGAGAATGACCAAAACGTTTGAGAACCACTGTCCTCTGGATATTTAAGTTTACAGATAATAGTGAGGCTATTTATGGTTCATTACAAAAAAAAATTAAAGCATGGGATTAACATTAACAAAAAAACTTTGTTGCTTAGAAAATCTCGAACCAATTCAGTTTCACATTTACTAAAAACGAGAGAATATTCATGAAATGTCTTCTCTTGGCCTAAATGTCTGTGATCAGTTACTGCACCTTGGATACTTCCTCCTATTCCTCCCTCCCATCCTTTCATTTTTATTTCACATTCACATATCGCACGCAGACACACAGTAATAATCTGGCTGTGCAGCAGTGTAAAGATAATTAGCATTTTTATTGAAAATGTATGGTTTGTAAAGGATGTATTCGTCGCGGCGAAGGAAGAGGAGCCGTGTGTGTGTGTGTGTGTGTGTGTGTGTGTGTGTGTTTGGGTGGGGCGCGGGCACAGTGGTGTGTGCACGTGTCTGCAGACGGCGAGCAGCCACGGCAGCCTCACACCAACATTATCTCTCATCTCCAATCAGCTCAGTCACTCCAGCCCAAGGTCATTTGTGGACACCAACAATTTTATCTCTCTCTCTCTCTCTCTCTCTCTGTCCATTATTCCCTCCGTTCTCTGTCTGCTCATCAGCACCTGCCATTCTCTTTAATCATTTCATCCTGCGTGTGCCTTTCTTCTCGTCTGCTCTGCTCGCCTACGTTCTCTGTTTTTTCCCCTGCTTCATCCGACGTGAGCCCTGTCCAGCCCTCAGCCCTGTCTTTTATCAGTTAATTCATTCTTTCTGTTCCTCGTCTGCTGGCCTTGTCTAACCCATTCTCTCTCTTCCTCTTCTGCTTCATCTCTCCCTTTTTTTTTTTTTTTTCCATTTCAGTCTACACCCGTCTGGTTGTCTCTATTTCTCTTGGGGAAAAACACAAAAACCTGCCGATGTCTACACCCAGTCCTACATATGGACATTACCATAATCTGCTCACACACACACACACACACACACACACATACAGATCTTCTCACGTCATTGTGATGAAGTTAGTCCAGGGGTCCAATGTGACAGAAGTCCTTAATTGTTCAAACAAGGTGATTTTATCTTTTAATTAGCTTTCACGTGGAGCCGACGTCTGTTGTCTAAAACAGACTGTGTCTGTATTACACAACACTTCACTGTTTTTCCTCTTTTCATTTTCCTAATACAACACACGTGATAGAAGTCTAATTGGTTCACAGGGGGAGGTACAGAGTGAAGCTAAAAGACAGAGCGACCGTCGCCTGGATGTACATGTTCATGTATTGACATGAGTCAGTGGAAGTGTATCACCACAGACGGCTGTGGTGATACTGCGTACTTGAATATTCCTGCGCGCGAGACACAGTTGGTATGGTAGTGCGCTACTGTATGGATATTTATAGAATGCCTGCAGTGCTATGAAAAAATATACACAGGTGGTTAATTACTGTAGACGCTAGCTGGCTAGCTTGGCACACGTCTGCCACACACTTATACCACAGAGAGCAAAGGAGAGAGAGCGAGAGAGCGAGAGAGAGCGAGAGAGAGCGAGAGAGCACTTGATTTCTGCTTTGGAAAACAGCCAACAGACCAACGGTGCAGGGAGAGGAGTTGTGAAGGTAACACAAGCCAAAAAATCCTACAGAAAAAAAAAAAAGCATGGAAGAAGGTTAAGGGACAAACTATCCCTGAAAACTGGAGTGTACTTAATTTAATTAACCTGTTCTTACAACCCACACTGAGATTTGTTTACAGTCTGAACAGTGTGGGAACTGAGCTCGGGCTGAACACCAAGTCTTCAAGTGGATTGCAATCTACAGAATAAAGCAGCAGAGAGAGTTTCTCTGGAGTTTGGCTCCTTTTCCTCCTGTGGAGTACTTCTGTGATTAGCAACACCTGGCCTCAGAGCCGGTCACTGGGGGTCAGGTGTTTACAATCAACAACCAGAGCTGTTAATGTCAGGGGAGAGTTACGGACGTCCCTTGATGCTTCCGTCACTTGAGTGCGCTATAAAGCCGGCTGCACCCTCTTTGTAAATGTGATGATTTGTTAGTTGTTGATGCAGCGGGAGTGCAGTTTGAGTACACTGTTGTATATTTTAGAAAAATGACTGTGTGTATTGATTGGTCCTGATTTAAAGCAAGTTAATGGAGACGTTGTCCCACCTTATGTCAAATAAATGTGTGTTCACACCATTGTAGCTGACAGTATTATTTCATCAACCGTGTCTCCTTCATTGTCAGCGTCAGAATGTAAGTCTGGTCCAGATCACAACATATTGACTACACAGAGTTCCGTTCTTACTGTGCGATGTAACTTGATTTTCCCTGTAAGTTGGCGCTCACATTCTCTACAGAAGTACCTACGTGACTCACCTACGCTAACACAGTGGATACAACATTATCTCCGACATAAGAACATCTAAAGAGTCTGACCTACGCCTGGGAGCCATAATGAAGGGGGAAAAAACCCAACAGAAACGGATGAAAGAAATCTAAATGTAGCATCCTCCAATGTACGCCGTCTTCACCGACAACATATTTCTCTGCTCCGCTCACCAACTAGTACCCATGTGAAATAGTTGTGGTCGAGGACGTCGTAAATGTTTACATTTTTGAAAAAGCTGATCATTTAGAGACATCCAGAGATAGATTTTTTATTTCTCATGCCAAACAATGTAACATGTAAGATAATAGTTTCCAGAGCCTTGTTTTAATACAAAACTTTGTTTCCCCCCTCTGTAACGTTGTGCAACATTTCTTTAGGCTAAACACACCCACAGGAACCAGGTTGTGTATCACAGTGCTACCTGATCCAGCCCCAACACTTAGTAAGTACACAAAAAACTGCTAATGTACTGTCAGGAGCTCACTCACTCTTCTGTCTCCCCCCCCCCCCCCCCCCCCCCCCCCCCCCCCTTTTTTTCTCCAGTGACTTTGGTTTCAGATGCTGTCTATTTTTATGGGTGGAAACGTTACCCTGACAGACCCATTGTTTATCAGATCACCGTGCAACTCATCTGCCTCGTCTCTCCCGTCATTTGTTTGGTCTTCTGTGCGCCGCGGCTACGTAATGTAGGTTGCTGCTGCATTTTCACACAGTCATGCAGTTACATCAACAAAAATAAAGTGGGAACATGCAGACAAGTTTCAAATGAATAAGATCAGAGTCGAACACACACACACACACACACACACACACACACCGACTGCTTTGATGTTTCCGTGTGTGTGCATGTGCGTGTGTGTGTGTGTGTGCAAATGCTTGGTGGGGCATTAAGCAGGTATCAGGTTGAGTTTCCATCTGCTCCAGAGAGGGCTCTGATAGTCCTATTATTTAATCTGCTGGTCATTCTAGACGCCAGGCAAGAGCCGTTTAGCCAGACATAATTGAATGCTTCAGTGTGGGAGATCACCTTGGTCGTCTATATGGACTCTGGTGCCAAAGCTCAAAACTCCAACTCAGACAAACTGAGATCTGCTGCGGTTTAGGCAGAACTTTCAGCACAAACAATCACCTCCCCACTCCAGTTCTAAACATCTCTAACAGAGCTCGTGTCTGAAACCACGTTTTGGCAACAGCCAGACCCAGAGACAAGATGAATGCACTTGCTATAAATAATCCTATCTCAGCCATAACTCCTACAGTGTATGGCCTCCTGTCTTTGGTGACTTATAACTGTTCCACTGCAGGAAAAGCAAAAGGAACATGTCAAGAGTGAGACACAGTACTGCACTCACACACGCTGGACAGTTTTATATCCTAAGACCGGCCTTCTCAAACTTTTCCATACCAAGGCCCCACAAACAGCATTCATGTCTGGCCGTAGACACACACCAAACCAACAGACAGGGCTACAAAATATATAACATCAACTTTTACACTTTTACTTTTATTCACTATTCAATAATTATTACATTTGTTTAGCATTAGGAAATGATTAACAAACATGTTTTCAGCAGTGTATATTCCATAAACTAAACTGTTGGTCTGCTCCTTCTGGCTATTTCTTGTCTGTTTTTTATTAGCTAGCTGCACGCTAGCAGAGCAGCTGGATAACAGGGCCCCTTGTGACCGCCTTTAGGGTCTCAGCCCGCACTTTGAAAAACCTCTACCCTAACACACATCTTATATCATGGGATCTTTACAGTGGAAAACAGGCAGAATATGAAGTGTTGTTTGTGCTACAACATTTTCCACGACATAATTAATCTTCGTTGTTTTTGCTACATTTTGCAACATTTTCCACGACATAATTAATCTTAATTACTACTTATAGCTGTATATCCTGAAATTGCCTTCTTTACTCAGCATCCAAGGTTTTTATTCAGTGAGAAAAAATGATCATAAATTCAATTAAATTTGAATTTATTTTCACATCGCAGAGCAAAAAAGGAATCATGTCAGATCTCTTATGTGATTTAACACAACAGAAAGCACAGTTTGCCTGAAGACAAGCCCTGGAAGTGTTGTCAAAGTACTGTACGGCATAAATGACAAGGAAGAATTAATATGTTCTTAATTGAAATCTACAGGCTTAACCGCTCTGTATTTATTATACAGTGAGCTGTGGGAAAACTATAAAACTAATATAAAATGGAGTAATTGCATTTCACATTGTTTACAACTACTTGCCATGAATATTTCACTTAATTAATTAAACACAGTCTGTGGTTACGTGGCAACAAAATCACACCTGACTCTGTCACCATACTGGACCATGAATCCTTTTTAATAGCTGGTTTGGTCAGAATGCTTTGTCATCATAGCTTCCCATGTCTTTGGACAGTCGCATATTGAACATTTGTCTTCTTGAATCAATGTCTTTGTCAATATTTCAGATGCATTTCACTGATGGTCTTTGTAACCAAAAAATAAATAAATAAAAAACATGGTAGCAGACGGTCCATTACTGAGATAAATGATTAAAGAAATGCTGTACTTTACAAAAAGGAACTTACTGTAAGGGACACACTCGTACTGGACTTCCAGGTATTTGTATGTGCCAGGGCAAGGGTCAGGGAAGACATCTGGTCCGGCCACCACTGCACACTGGGTACGGTTGTTACATCTGTGAGGGAAAGATGAGAAAAGAGGCAGATGTTTCAGCCTGAAATGTAAAACTAAACACTCATAAACACCGAGCGAAAGAGCAGCACAGGGTTTTTTTTTGTTTCTCCTGTGAAATACAGTACAGGCTCAACACTTCAAGACATACTGAATCCTCTTAAACAGTTTGCTAACACTCAGAAGTGCTGTGTGTGTGTAAGGACCCTTCAGAGTAACAAGAGCAAACAATGTGTCCTTTACCAGCGCACCTGAAGTGAACATCACACTTATAGAATCATCGAGGTCAGCTGTACACGCAGGCGGCTGAGGAGCTGCGTGTGTACGTACTGTATGTGTGCTTGTGTGTGTGTGTGTGTGTGTGTGTTTTATGGTAACGGCGTTCTATGCCATGAACAGCATTCTGCCCCACACTCCAGATAATTAATTCTAATCATCAGAGGGCTCCTCTTCTCTGACACACAAAAGGTAAGTATGTCTTTAGCGCAGCCTGTGTAAAAACAACACGCTGTGTGTGACCGGCCTCGAAAGGTTTGTACATGTGCAGTCACACGTGCACAAAACTGAATACATGACATACAAATGTGAGGCGTTTTTAATTAAACGTGCCACAAATAACAGTCAAAGCTGGAGATGATTTAGAATGTGTGAGGCCACTGGAGCTCCTTTATTACCATGTTATTCTAGGATCCACATGCAACGCTGCAGCAGCTGAGGGAAGGAGGAGAAATAAGTGAATGTCACACATATTGCAGTTTTATTTGTCCGGGGCCATAATATTTCCGGACAGACACCTTAGGGGTCCTGACACTCAGATAAAATGAAATAAAAATTATTTTTTTAAATAACAACATTGGTTGATGTTTATTTTAGAATTCAGTCACGGGCCAGATTGGAGGATTTGGCAGCCCTGATTAGGTCCACGGGCCGCCAGTTGATGATTGCTGCTAAATACCTTTTCTCTACAGGATATTTTTGGTTAAATGTATATTTATTTCTTTTTATGTTTATCAGGTAAAGTATAGAAACCTAAACATATGAACCTGTACATTGTCTTTTTTAACAGGCTAAGTTAAATTTCAAACACAGTTTTATAACTTTTAGTAATGAATAACCGCTTTGTCCTGCACTCAACATACATTGACAAACCTTGTCTTATGTCTCTAATTTATATCTGTCAGTGTTGGCATTGTCTCCAGGTGAATGGCATCCAATCGTTCTATGAATAGTCAAAAATAATTTTCCCAATTTTTCCACTGTGGAAAGGTAAGACAGGCGGGCAAAAAAAGAAGTTTTTACTGATTTAAATACAGTAACATTTCATTAGAGCGTTTCAATATTGTGCCTGGTGGCAGCAAGAATCATAGCTTATGGAGTTATCAGCCTACAGAGAACTAGTTTAGGCTGTCATTATTTGTTAGCTATTATCCTTTCTAATAAAGCTTCACATTATAATTTAAATTAAAGCCCCCCCCCCCAAAAAAAATCTAAATTAAAGCCCCCCCCCCAAAAAAAATACAAAACTGTTACCACTTAAAGAAGCCTGGCGGGCTTCTTCTCCTCTCATCTGAGTATTTCCTTTCAATTAGTACAAATGTTCTTTCTCCCTCATTCCCTCTCCACACACCTGTCAAACAGGCGACATTTATATTAAAAACATTCACATTCTTCCATTGAGATATTTTTAATGAGTGTGCCAAACCCCTCAAGTCCCCTCACTTTCTGTATCACATTCCACAATTTGCATAATGAAATATGCATGAGAGCTAATTTAATTTTTATTCAATATTTGGCTTTAAGACACAGAACGTGACGCCGTAGATCACGGAGTCTAATGTTGACCGGCCTGTACCTGTGGTCAAAGCTCTGGGGCCGAGGAACGAGCCGAGTTCTGAAGCTTTCAAAGCTAGCCCTAGCATACTCTTAGCATTTCTCCACGTGGGGGCCTTTAATTTCATCAGATACTTTTTGCATAAACCAGCAAATAAATCTTGGCTAACTGCAGCCACAGTTTGTGGTCATTATGATGTAATCACTCTGAGGGAGTTTTACCACTTGGCATTTCAGATCTGAAGGGCGCCACAAAAGACAAGGTCGAAATGTACAAAGAGTACAAATCTAAGTCCTGCTGATATTGTAAGTTTAAGGAGGTTTGGTACGAGCTGAGATTCCAACAAAGTTTGGAAGCTCCATAAAATGTACACATGTGCCTGGGAACAGAGCACACACAGCAACCAGAGTTCAATTTATTTAAAAACAAGTGTGAACACGCCCTTAGCATGGTTAAAGTCAACATGCACGACCGCTGCCATCCAAACCCCGGGGCGGACGACACAAGAATCGTACGACCTGACGAATTCCCCAGAATGTCAGAGCAGTTTCATTCTGGGAAGAATTATTTCCACAAACAAACTTTTTTGCACTTCCAAGCTAGGCGAAAAAACAACAAAGCACGAAACCAACAAGTGGAGAGGTTATAAACACACACAGCCGGACTGTTGTTCTCTGAAGTTCCAAGAACTTGACTCATAAACTCTGAAGGAAATTGACTTGTATTTTAAGCAGGGAACGTACAGCAGTGATTTGGAACGCCACGTTATATCCATTTATATCCGTCTCTCTCTGCTATCAGTCGGTCCACTGTTTTATCTTCTGTTCTTTTAGACCACAGATAATAAAACAGATTCCTGCTTAGCTTTTGTCATCTCTCTTCCAACCGAGGGATGTTTCCTCTCTTCCTTTCTCTCTTTGTTATTCGTCTGGCTCTTCCCTCACTGTGTTTATCTATCTTAAACCCACTTAGCTGCATTTTCTCAAGTCACACCCAGATATATGTGCTAGTGCCTGATATTGCTGGCTTTCGTCTCTTGTCTTTTCTCCTTCCTGAATATCTCTCTCATCCCCGTCTCCCCCGGGTTATCATCTCTAGCCTCCCTCTGTTTCTCCCACAATCCCTCCATCCAGAGTGAAGCCGACGCTGACGTCACCATTCGCTCTGAGACAGTAGCTCGACTGGGATCCAAAAAAAGACTCCATCTTCCCCTCCGTCATTTCTTCTCCTCCAACAGCATCCGGATACAATACAAATAAATACAATACTAGAAAAGTAGCACACACACCTGAATGTGAAATAATACACATTTCTACCTTTTGAAAACAAACTAACAAACAAAATTATTTCAACCTTTTAAATGTTAAAAATAATACACATTTCTACCTCCTGAAAACAAACTAACAAACACAATTATTTCAACCTTTTAAATGTTAAAAAAATGAAATAAATAAGGAGAAAAAATATCCTTTGTAGACCTCCCATGTGTGTTCTACACGTTGGCAGGAAAGCTGTGTTTTAATTGGTGTTTCCACATCAAAACAAGGTAGTGGCCTGGTTACTGCCTTGTCTGCCAGTTTAGTCCTTTTTTTCCCCGTCTTTTTCTCTGTCTCACACTCGGTCTCTAGACAAACACGCACAAATTCACATAGACATATATACATGCAGCTATTTGCTAACAAGATGAAGCGACGGCAGGCAGGAGAACACTGCGACAGCCGCATCGGGTGCTGTTTTCTTCTTTTATGTTTTTTCACTTTGTTTGACAGAACACCCCCCTCTCCCCCCCCCAGCCCCCATCCTTCAGTCTGTCTTTGTTTCTCTGACTATATTCCCTCAAATAAACATAACTGTCTGATTGGGGTTCGGATTTTGCTGGCGATGAATGACAGAATTGTCGAGAGCGGACTGAAAATAGGGAATCAAAAATACTGCGTGCGCTGATACAGAACGATTTGCATGTAAGTGACTGGGTGTGTGTGTGTGTGTGTGTGTGTGAGAGAAGATATGTTGAAGGGCAACTACATGTGCTGTAATTACAGAGTAAGTTGGGATGGAAACTATTCCTCATTAGTTCAAAGGAGTGTCTGAAATTGAGTGACAACACGCAGAGTCTCCACGTGACCATGTGAAATTCAAATTTGAAAAGTCTTCAACCACACAACAATGCTATTCCTAAAGTGTGGTGAAGGAATGCCAGAGCTGCCACTAGGAGGTGTGGGACATAAAAAAATCTGATGGTGGGGGTTTTTTAGGTGGGATTTTTCCACAAAATAAAGACGTGTAAATAAACATTTCCTTTGTAAAAAGAAAATCCAAAGCTGACATTTTCATTTTCTACAAGAACTTTCGCAGCCAACTGGACTGTCTTAGGTTTTAGAAGATGTTTCATTGTCTTTGGTTCTAACCTTAGTTTAAACTACTTTTTGTCACCAAAAAATTATGACCTTCTTAAAGCAACAAAGCAATACATCTGTCCAGTAATGTGTTCTCTTCCATGTACATATCGAGTTTGTTGTTAATTTAAATATTTTGCCACCATCACCAATGACAGGGCACTGGTAAAATGTTCACAAACAAATATGTCCAACTTGTAGGGACATGCACTTCATTAAATGTAGTTACGGTTAAATGAAGACACGGAGTTAAGGTGAGGAAAAGAATGCTGAGATCCTCAGACACAACATGTTTGTTTTGAGTTACTCAAACCCACACAGTTTATCTGCAGACATTCAGTTGGTGTAGCGCTTCTACAACTTAGCAAAACAAGTTTGTTTTTTTTTATAAAAATGAAAAACATAAATTAGCCATAAAAACACCACAACAGCTTAATTGGGATGAAACTTTAGCACTCCATAAATGTTTTTTTTTTTAATTTATGTTTGGTAGTGTCTGATAAACTTGCTTCGTCTCACACAGCAGTAGTTTCACAGAGCAGGACACATTGGTCCTAATATGTCTGGAGGTCATTTTGTTTAAAAAAAATGGTGATAAAATCTGATGCTAAACAAAAAAAAATGTAAAGCATATTGTATTGTGAGTTGTGTGTTTATTTGTTTTTAAGGTGTTTTAAATTCACAAGAAATACTATTAAAGTGATAACGCTTGATTTTGCAGGTCAACAACATCTTAACAATTTGTATTTAAGGGAGAAAAAGGAAGATAACACTTTT